AAATTTCGATAACTTCCTAGATTTTCAATCGAACAAGTAGTCAATGATTTCCCAGACATTCTAGCGATAAAATAATGTTCGAATCTCATTTCCAAACCCATTCGAATTCGACTATTCGAAAAATCGAATAAAAGCGCTTTGTCGAATGTTCTAATATGAAATATCGGAATTTTTCGAAATGTTCGAATTTTTTTCGAGCACGAATATTCGGTCTAAACTATAGTTGGAACTGTTAGTCGGAACAAATTAAAATTAGCCACTTTTTGTTTGTAGGTGACGTCGTTTTGCAACCTTTCCAAAAAAAAAACACTCAGTTTTCAGTGTAACGAATGCTTATTTTCGTCTTTTCATCGTTGAGCTATTTTGAAGGAAATTTGTCTTTCTTGAGTTAAATAGAAGACTTAATTTAATAGGCTCTTATTATTGCTTCCAGGACAACGGCAGAAGGTCATTTGATTCTAAGCGGCGAGAAACTTATTCGATGTCTCACTCATCGTCTTATCCGGATAGTCGTAAAAGAGACTACATGGGGTTAGTATGAATCTCTTTATTATCGTTTCTATTATTTATATCATAATATGCCTGACTGCCACATTGTCATAATCTTCTGTTCTTTTTATGTATGTCCTATTTAGGCGGAATACCAGTTATAGTGATCGTCATGACAATCATTATCGAGGCTCTCGTGAGTTTTTAAACCATTTCAATCGATAGGAAATGTTTTTGGCTGATTGCTATGTGAGAACTGGAATTCTTCAGCTCATACACCATCAATGGCAGTGCCTACACCGCCACCACCACCACCTCCACCACCGCCAAACTCTTATCCGAGGTAATCAAATAAGTTGTATTAAACATCTTCGATGATGAAGTATGCTTTATTACAGCTTTAAAACTCGCACAGTAGCTCGCAGCGAATCATACACCACACCGAAGTCAAGTTTCAAGGGAAGGTTAGTTCTATAGAGAAACTGCTTTCGCAGCTGTTGCTGAAAGGTAA